TGATTGATTGATTGATTGAGCACAAGCTTTCTCCACTGCCGTTTGTAATGTCAGCGTCGCTTCAGCATGTAACTTGCGTTAAATTGTCTGTGAACGCAAACCACAAACAAACCGGTCTCGAATGGCTTCCTCGCGATAAAGGCCAAATTCGCAGGTCTCCGCTAACTTTTGTAGCTTGGCTAGGTACTGCCTAATGGTTTCCGACTCTTCCTGTTCCGCTTTGTGGAACTTGTATCTTTCCGCGATAATTATCGGTTTTGGATCCACATGCCGTGCCAGAATCTCTACAATTTCCGCAAAATTTAATTCTTTCAGTCTCCTCGGCGCTGAAATAGACCTCAACAAAGCATACATCTTACTACCCATTAATGTAAGTATGCTCGGTACACGCTTATCTGTCGGTACACTGTTAACTTCAAAGAACATTTCGAGTCGCTCCACATAATGTTTCCAATCGCTGCCCGGCGTAAACTCCTCCATACGCCCTAAACACGATGGATGTACCACGATGCTAGGCTGCGCTGATTCTCCCGGTATATCCACCATCCTCGTCGCCAACTGTTGTGTCTTCACTCGAAAAGCAACTCTACGAAAAGCAACTCTACGAAAAGCAACTCTACGAAAAGCAACTCTACGATGAAACTAAAACTGACCAGCAACGTACAACACATGCGGTTAAAAACAAAAATGCTAATAAGTTCATAACAGTTCTGGGTTACGAAACTCCCGCGGGATTTTAAGCAAATTAACATAACACTTAGAATTTATTTTTCTTTCCCTCCCATCTCTCCTAGTATTTCACTGTGTTGGTCTTTTATATCTGTTTGGGTTTTGTATCAGACAGCCTCTCTATTCAGTGGTATATTGAGTGTATTATTTATGTGTAGCTTAGTTTTTTAAAAAGATTTTTCTTATTTGTGAAAATAATTAGTTGTTAGTAGCCTTCTAATAATAAAGGCTGCCTTTCTCTTAAACTTTGCTTGTAGGAATGTTGTTATGTGGTTTGATGTAGTGAAAACTGTGATTTTTTAAATGCATCACATTATTTGCAAATCAGAGTAACTTATTCAAAATTATGTTAAACCTGAGTATTTTTTAAAGATACATTTGGTGTGGTACTCACACTGTTCAGGAAAAGGTTGTTGTTCTTTTGATTCTTGAGAATCCATGTCATTCTTGGTGATTTGTATAGTGCCTCAGGCAGGACAGAAAAATATTCCTTGGAGTATGACAAGGGAAGCTTAATGTAAATAAAAGGGTTTTATCATCCTCGAAAGCCTTCAACACTTCAAACACAATCCTCTTTACGGGGCAACGGGGCAATAATTTGGCAATAACGGGGCAATAACGGGGCAATAATAAGGGTTTTATCATCCTCGAAAGCCTTCAACACTTCAAACACAATCCTCTTTACGGGGCAAATTTAATAGAGCAAATGATAGATGTCTCATCTGATTTTGTCTTTTGGGCCAAGCTTTTTACGAAGAATTAATCAGCTTAAATGTGGCCTGGAATTATAATCATAACCTCGCGTGACAAACATATTCATTCGACGAAAGCTCGCTTAGGTCACCTTAGGACCTGTACTTACTTCACCGGGGGGGAGGGGTGTGGAGGATTTTGGAAGGATCAGATAGTTTCGGGAGGGATTAAAGAGAATGATCAGTCGTCTCCAAGGTGAGACTTAAGGCTGCCAATGAGAGGGACCATAAAAATTTTACATAGCTTTAGGGATATCAGGTAAATTTTATCGTGACACAATCAAATCCTTCAAAACCCCCCTCCACTCTCCCAAGCAATAAATAATATAGTGGAACCTCGATTTAATATAGGGCCACGGGACTGGGGAAATTGGTTCGTTATATCGAGGGTTTGTTACATCGAGGTTCTATGGCATACAATTTACTGTAACTTAAGCCGGGCCTGAAACTGAAGTATCGTTCGTTACACTAAGGACTTCGTTATATAGAGGTTCGTTAAAGCGAGGTTCCTCTGTAACCGGTCCTTCAGGGCGACACTCATCATTCCTCGCTAGCTGGTCAGCAAACAGCAAGCAGGAATGACTTCAAGACTTGCCAAGCACAGGCAGCCCAAGCTCACTACTATTTTATTTCAGTGTTATTCTTCCTGATATCACTTATAGTATTGTAACGTGGGAAAGCTGCTGTAATCTTGAGTTATTTGGGGCGATTGAAAAACTTCACAGCCGAGCGGCAAAGTTAATATATAATTTAAAGAAAGACACCTCCCACGATGACTCCCTGAAGATAGCTAATTAAATGGCACTCCTTGGATTATATTTATAAGACCAAACTGTTTAAGGTAGTACATGGTGCATACAATGATTTGCTACTAGAACAACTGTCCGAAAATATTATTGTCAAGAGGTCGAGTGGTGCGAAGTATTCATTAAGGGGGTCAGATAATATTGTTATGCCAAGATTTTAATCTCGCTATTTAGAACGTTCCGTAACTGATAGAGTGGCTGTTCTATGGAATACAATTACGTCTAGGAATGCAGACATTGTTCATGCTACACGAAAGAGCATAGATTCAAGATTAAGTAAGATCGTTGAATTTAAAGATTTTCATTTTAAGGTAACATCTGCCTCAACAGTTAATTTTTGTGATCAAGACTATATTTATTTTTAATGATATCTTACGCAGATTATATCACATATATTGTACAAATTTTTATAATTATTGATTATTAGTAATCTTACTTTTATTTTGTATGTAAGTTAGTAATAGATATTAGTTTTAGGACTAGTTTAAATGCACGACCCCATAAGCGCGAAGCTTTTAACACTTATCGTGTTGAAATAAAGTTGATGTTGTGTTACGTTATGTTCGAAAAGCGGACGTTACTCTTACCGTGTTGCGCAACGTTTTATATTTATAAAGGTTTGTATGAGATGTTATCGGTTTGCCTTAAAAGAGAGAAACTGAAAATGTCTTCTGTTGAAATAAAATGGACTTATCTTATTGCATTGTTGTTTTCTTTGTTGATTACCAGCGTCTCAGACCATTTTGAAGCGTTTTCGGCGAGTTAGCGCTATTTTGCTGTTCAACTGTCTTTTTTTTTAGCAATATTGAACACCAAAAGAGCGCTAACTCGCCGAAAACGCTTCAAAATGGCCTGAGACGCTGGTAATCAACAAATAAAACAACAAGGCAATAAGATAAGTCCATTTCATTTCAAAACAAGACATCGTTTTTTCTCTCTTTTAAGGCAAACCGATAACATCCCATACAAACCTTTATAAATATAAAACGTTGCGCAACACTTTAAGAGTCACTTCCGCTTTTCTAGCAGTGAGCTTGGGCTGCCTGTGTGCCAAGGAGGTAATTAACGATATACTTACAAAAACATGTTTTTAGAATAGAAAAGAAAGCAAGCAACATGCAGCATGGTCAAAGCATTCCCTCGATTGTAAAACTAAATGTCGGCGGTGATTACTTCACCACAAGTCTTCAAACACTGACCAAAGATCGAAACTCGATGCTGGCCGCCATGTTCTCAGAGAGGTTTGAAATGAAACCTTGTGAAGACGGCGCTTTCTTTATTGACCGAGATGGAACTCACTTCAGGTTTATACTGAATTATCTTCGCACTGGAAAATTAACTTTACCAGAAGGAGCGACATTTTTAAAAGAACTTGCCGAAGAAGCTGAGTTTTACCAAATCCAGGGGTTACTGGATACGTTAAAATTGATGGAAGATAGTTTGACGAGCGTGAAACTGAATGTTGGCGGCCATATTTTCACAACAAGTCTCCAAACACTCACCAAAGATCCAAAATCAAGGTTGGCCGCTATGATTGCAGAGGGGTATGCTGAAAACGGCACTCTATTCTTCGACAGGGATGGAAAACACTTCCGGTTTATACTCAATTATCTGCGGAACGGAGAGCTAGTCTTACCGGATGATGCAAAATCTGTTAAAGAACTTGAAACTGAAGCGCAGTTCTATCAGATTGAAGGGATACTAATTAGGTTGAGCCTATTTTCTGAGATTCTCACGAATGAGGAACACATCGCCGTGTTGCTAAGTTGGCTGCCTTACCATGAAGTGGGGATGGAGCGACATCCCCTCCGTCTTCTGTACCGAGCTTCTCAAGATGGCTTCGCAGCCGAATGCTTTCACTCCAGATGTGACAACAAGGGACCCACTCTCACCATTGTGAAGAGCGGGAAACATGTATTTGGAGGTTTCACGGAACAGTCTTGGAAAAGTAAGTAGGAAATTAACGTATTCGGATAGAAGGTAGTAGCTAATGATTTGAATAAACCGGAAGGTTCAATGAAAAATTTGGCGTGACACAACGGAAACGTCGGGTTCACTTCTTCGTGACTTGAATACTTGTTGTTTGGTTCTCAGCTGTAACCGGAGCCCAGGCTCCTCCCCGAAGCGTCTCTTCTCGGGTAGGAACGAAAAAGACCAGACCCGAGAGAGCGGCTGAAATCGAGCCTACCGTCAGGGTTAATGAAGAACTTTTTCAAATTCCTCTTAAGGTGGTCGCCGTTCGCTTTTCAAAATGTTTTCGCAGACAGACATTTTCGAGGCTCGAAATGCTACTGATAGACTACTTCAGGTATGCTTTAACACAAGAGAATATCACCTCTTGTAAACGCCAGGGAGAAGAACTTACAACCGGCTTTTCATTATTGTGAGAATTATAATTATTGTAATTAAAGTAAGAGTGAAATGATAAGTACGGTTACCAAACCGTGATTGTAACGTTATTCGTAGGAGGAACAGGAACACAAGTGGACTAAAAAAAACCTTTTTAATCGATTCTCAGTGATGTGAAATACAAAACCGGAAGGTATGGCCTCGAAGCTCCGTTGCCATGGTAGCGACAACGTAAACGTGAACTGGAAGTAATAAAAATCGAAAAGATCATGTATCATTACGCTGATGGCAAGAGAATATTTTTTAATTTTATATTCTCTTGCTGATGGTTATCATTTTTTAAGGGACATTATCTCATCAACAGGTCAAAGCGGTTATTCAAGATGTACAGAAGCATTCTTGTTCAGTATGGTCAACCCACAGGGCCTGGAACCAACTAAAATACCGCTTACTTATGAAAGCGGATGGCAGGGCATCTACAGTAGTGACAGCCATGGACCAACGTTTGGCGACCAGACCTATAGCTTCAATTACGCCCTAAAAATCTCAGACAAAGCACACATATCATGCAGCGAGTCTGATGATCGTAATCGCACATATCATTTCCCGCCAGGGCGCAGAAATTTTTTCACAGGGACTTCAAGTTTTTTTGTGACTGACTACGAAGTGTTTTCACTCATTTGAAGTTAAACAAATGATTTGGGTGAGGGGAGGGGGGTGTACCTCCAGTAATGGGGATGCTTCGCCCCAATTAAGGACATTTACCCAGAAAAGGATTGTATAAAAGAGACGAGATTGCAAAAGGTTGGGAGCTATTAAAAAAGAGGCGTAGAATTTAGTTTTAATTTAAGCTACCGAAGTATTACGTGTTATACACATATATTACATCGTACGATATAAAAAAATCTGGTGGCTTAGTTTTTGAAAAGATAAATTTTCAACAAGCGTTTGAAGGAGTCAACAGATTCAGCGTCTTTTATGCATTCAGGTAGTTGATTCCACAAATACGGTGCAGCGTAGGAGAATGCTCTTTGCCCATATGTATTAGTTCGAATTGTTGGGACCTCAAATAGATTCATATTTGATGAACGGAGTCTTCGTGCTGGAATATATCGACTAAGAAGTTCTACTAGATAGGTTGGAGCCATTTCATTTAGTGCTTGTATGTTATCAACAGTATCTTGTAGTATCGCTGTAGATACCCCCCGCTCAAAGGTCCCGGTAAAGCGTAATGATATTGAAGTATTGCTATTTGTCTCCCGTTGTGTTCATTTTCATTATGGATCACGACTTTTCGACTGTGCGTGTGCATCTAGTATGATAGTGGTTAATAAATGTTCTGTCACAGTCCATCTGTGCTTAAGCACCTTGTTTGAGAGAATATAGACATGAACTGTATGTTATCAGGGACGTAACCAGAATTTTTCAAAGGGGGGGGGTCACACTGTGTCAAACAGAGGTACTAGGGTACTCACCAGATTGTCCTGTCGACAACAAGGGCGGGGTCAGAGGCATCCCAGGACGCCACTGGCTAGGTCTTTGGTATCAATTTGCTATTGCAACGGAACTTCCCGATATTTTATTGAACACTGACATTTACTTCGCACCGTGTAAATGTAAACTAAATAAGATTACAAAATCTTTTGTTTGATTTTTAGTTTGTGTCAAGATCTACACTGTTGGTAGGCTACTACATCAAGTTAGATATAGTGTCACAGGAAAAACTTCAACTTCCTAAAAAGAAAGAAAAATCCTTTGTTGAGCCAGTCAAAACTATTCAAATAGTTAAGTATTCTGTAAGTTGGTATGCTAATACATATTATCTTATTAAACGTTTTGTTGTGCAGTATTTTTGTAGGGTAGTATTTTGACGAGCCCGTAGGGCGAGTCAAAATAAAAATAACGAGTAAAACTACTTAGCGATACGATAGAGCAAAACGTTTGATAAGAGATTTATTATCCAACACGCCAAACTATTATTTCAGTGCGGGTGAATTTCACGGATATTTATTAACGGGGAGTGCGTGACAGAAGAATGCGAAGCGGAACGCGTTGTCGTGTTGCTGTTCTTATTTTCTACAATAAATGATGAAATTTCATTGTCGTCTATAATCGTTTTTCTTCGTTCGATTTATCTAACAAACTTGGATCAATATTCGCCAGCCATTCATGTGTTTTTATTGCTTGTTATTTTCGCCTTTATTTTTTCGGATAAGAATCGTTTTACTAGACTCACATCGAAGAAATTGAACATCACGGAGTCATAACGAGTATTGTTGCCAAAGGGGTGCCAGCGGAAGTTTGATGAAACTGTAACATTGTCAATTCCACGTTTTATTCGATCCGATCAACTACACTCAGCATATTTTATTGTAATCGAACAGTATGCTGATTGAAAAGAAACAAAAAAAATTGTGTCCAATGAGTTTAAAATATTACATAATTAAGTATGCTATATAGCTGGTAAGCTAATACATGAAGTTATATTTGAAGATAAATAAAACAGGTTAAACGAGATAAAACTAATCACTCGGCGTTTAGGGAACATGCTTCCAAAAATCGGCAACAATTCATCAACCTCTACTGGCACCTCTTTGGCTGTCACGTAGGTAGTTTCCTTGGTCACCGTCTAGGCTGCGGTATCGGTGGCTTTTGTAGCTCCAGCTATGTCTTCCCGGCATTCCTTCGATTTTGGTTTTGTTTTAGAGCCGCTGGTAGAATCCCCTGTTCGTTCGTTGCACCAGTCACTGGTGATGTGCCTGAAAATATCATTGAATCAAACTATGGATAAAAGTACGTTCTTGAGCATAAAGGTTGCAATTGGAGGCTTTTTCTATGACCCTTACAAATGATCAAGCTATCGCAGCGTCCATCATTTTTGTCCAGCGAAATAGTTTAAAGAAGGAGGGCTTCAGGAGCGAGATTGATTGATGGTCGGTGACGTGACCATGAATTGGTAAACTATAAATAACGCTGAATGTCTTATTTTATTTGTTCAAGGGCCATCAGCGGTTTGTTTTACAGTCAATTCAAATCAAGTCCATCTCCTGTTGGTACATTACGCACATTTTCAACATAATAAAATAGCCGGAAACTCATCTTGCAGAACAAAATGGTTCACGAATCACGATTAATTCAGCACTTCATTTATGGGTGAAAAACTTAATTCACTGGGACATGAAATGATGTTATCATCTTTAATCAAAATTCACGATTAAATAAAAGATCAAGTCACGATTCACGAGAAATATTAAAATTCGCCCAATCACGCTTTACGTAAAAAGTATAAGGGACTCTCTATAAACCCGCATTGAATCTTTATTAAGACAAGGTAATAATTTGGAAAAATCAGAACAAATGAGAGTTGTCTCGTCTCTTTTCGTTTTGTCTTTTTGGCCAAAGTTTTCTAGAGGAATTAATCAGCATAAATGTAAACACAACTTCACGTGACTAATGATATTTATATTATTCATTCGAATCGCGCTACATCAGGGAGACGCCCGTCATTTCTCGCTAGTTTGGTTAGCGAACAGCAAGCAGGAGTGATCTTAATCCTTGCAAAAGAAATAATTTGCTTTTGACTTACGAAAACCTGACTTTATTGATATACGGATACAGAAAGAAAGCAACATGCAGCACGGTGTAAGTATTCCCTCGATGGTGAAACTGAATGTCGGCGGCCATTACTTCACCACAAGTCTTCAAACGTTGATCAAAGATCCAAACTCAATGCTGGCTGTCA